AACTCACCACTCTTATGCCAGTACAGTCGTAATGATGCATTTAGGTACCGAAATGAATTGCATGAACATTCACGTGGTGGTTATGTAATTGGAATTGCATGAACATTCACGTGGTGGTTATGTAATACAGCGAATCGATAATAAAAAATCTGCGTCGAAAAATTTACAAAATCGACGTCATCGATTTTTTCAACTAATCGGTGCAGCCCTAAACGTGAGAAATGAGCTTCTTCTCATGTTGCATCTATAAAGGGCCCAATCAGAGACATTTTTGAGCAGTGCCTCTGTCCATGTCAGTTATGTCTAAGCAGTCCTCCACAAAGGCAGATTCTTGGAAACCCAGCGTCTTAGGAGACACGATTCATTTCTCAGCAAAACAGATTTTATTCCTTCTATGATTTCTTTTTTCAGGATACCTTCACCTACAGAAAATAATTCACAAAACCCGTGTTCGTGCCGGCACAAACAGCTTATTCCTTCGAACCGAGGACAAAAAAACGCTCCTTAAATTAGCGGTGTTTATGCTTTTCTTTAGACTGTCGTGTCTTTGACCCATCCAGGAGTAAAACAGACCAAACTGGTCACTAACTCTGATTAATTTTATATCAGTCTTAACTTTTTCACCTCCTCCAGCTCACGGAGGAGCACTGAGTCATTTCCAGTTCAGTTCTGGTTAAAGGCTCTTTGAGCTGGACATGACAGACAGAAACAAGAAGTCCTCTCCCTCTCATCCTGCTGCCAGCCTCCTGGAACCTTCTTCTGTACCTTGACCTACAGCATCAACTTCATTTATTTATAGAGCACATTTTAAAAACCACAAGGGCAACCAAGGATAACCACGATGCACCGAGTGCACTTGTTGATTTTAAACTACTTCAAAACTTGTTGTTGTTGTTATGCTGAAAAGCTTTTTCTGAGTAAAGCAAAATGAGGAGAAAAATTTCTGGGAACAAAAATAACCACCGTTGAATCTTAGGAGGTAGACTGTTGTTGGTCACAGGTAGTAATTATGTGAGTTTTGTTGCTGTGTAGTTGTTCAGTCGGCTAAACAAGACAAGAGCAACAATGTTGATGTCACAATTTAAGAAAACAAAAATAATAACTTGTGTACTAATACTGTTTGTTTTCTAACTTTTAAAGTTTTCATGATATTTAACTTTATCTACATTTAATATTAACATAAAAATCTGATCAAATCCTCCAAAACTTTCTTCAGCATGTTGCTCTATTCTTGTCATTTTATTCTACTTTTAGCTTTAAGCTAACCTGTTGATACTGTTAGCGAAAACCTAGCCTTTTCAACACAGCTTTTTGATAGTGCATTGCCAATTTAAGCTGAAGTTAGTCTTTTATTATTATTTTTTTTGTTATTTTAGCTTTGCTGAAATACTGAAATATTCTTTCAGCATACATGCTTTATTTCTTACATTTCATGCTCCGTTTTAGTTTTTAGTTGCAGTTTTGTTAACTTTAGCTTTTGGCTACAGGTTTTGTCATTTCAGCTTACATCTATGGTTTTGCTAATTTTAGCTTTTGACAAAGGTTTTCTTAGTTTAACTTTAATCTACAGTTTCACCCATTTTCCCTTTTAGCCACTGCCTGGTTGATTTTAGCTTTCAGCAATGGTTTTGCTAATTTCAGCTACAAGCTACATTTTTTACTCATTTTAGCTTCTACCCACTGTTCTGCTTGTTTTAAATTTTACCTATCAGTATCTGCCTAAATAAAATAAAATTAAAAAAAAATGTAAAAAATTCTGCTGAATTTAGCTTTTAGCTACTGTTCTGCTCATAAAAGCTGTTCAATGTTTTCCTTAATTTAGCTGAGCGTTTGCTCTGTTTTAGCTTTCATTCGGCTCATTTTAGCTCCTGTTTTGCATTCAGTTCGAGCTTCCTCGGTGAGTTTCAGCGGTCGTTCAGCTCTCAGCGTTCACACTGAATTTGCACAGAAAATGCTCATTTTTCTATCTTCCATTTTTGTTCCTGACAATAACTTTTGAAGATAACTGTGACAAAGTGAGCCGCAGTTTACAGAAAACATTTACCACTTTATAAAGACCGAACCGTACATCAGATGAGATTTATCAGCAACTGAAATTATTGCTTCTCTGAACTCACCGAACATTTTGTTGTGAAGCACGCTGACTGATGTTTCAGTTCAAGCACCGGTACTTCCAAACTCATTTCATATAGATGGAACGGGTAAAGATAAGTAACAGCGCCGAACGAACTCTAAAGCACGGTTTTATTTTTATTTTTTTTTACCTTCCTGCCCGGGTAAAGGGAGAAGCGAGCAGGTAATAGCGACAAATTTCGGGGATTAAACGAGGACAGCTTTATGATGCCTGAGCGACCACTATGACTGCATTGGTGTCAGACGGTATTAGCTTGGCCTCTGCGATGTGTTTAAATCTGCTCCTGGCCCGTTCCCAGCACTCGCCGAAGCACCTCCTGTAAATAATCTAAACGGCTGCATCTTGTAGTTTATGAAGAGGGGGACTCTGGGCAGCTCGGTGCTTCTGTGTGCGGAAAATGTGACAAAGTGGCCAAGGAGTTCAATATTCAGCATCGGGCGGCTGAGCCGACACAGTCGACCAGAGGGAGGCATCGACACACATTGTTGTCAAGAGTTTAAATTTGACTGCTGTTTAAGAGAACTCAAGCAGTCAGGTGAGGAGAGCGTTTTTAAATCAAGACAAGTGGTCTCGTTCCCCCTTCACACGCTTTCTGTAAACAGAGAAAAAGTGTGTCTGCCCGCCAGCTGCCAGGTGGAGGTCCACAGGAAGGCCACCTGTCTAATAACTGCTTTTGATGCATATCGCTCAGATATTTGAAAAAAAAAAAGAGCATCTGGCTTGTCCTTTCAAAGCTCATCTGGTTAAAAGCCTGATCTGTGTTCCACCTGGCCAAGAAAGTTGTTGTGATTGTTTACCTTATTTCAAAAATAATAATTCGATATGTTCATAAATCCTCTCTGTTCTCAACTACATCATATTAAATGTTTGTAAAACTATACAGGTTACAGCAGTTTTTTGTGTAGTCCAGTTTACATTTTTTATTTAATTTTTTGTTTTGTTACATAAAGATTATTATTGTTTGAAATTATTTGATGGAAAAAAGGTACAGATACTGTAAGATTTTTTCTTCTTTCTGCTGCCTTTCATGTTATTTTATTCGTATTTTTTATTGTATATAGAATTTGCTTTGTGTTTAAATGAAATGAATAAGCTCAACTAAGTGTGGCAGCCATCTAGAACAGTGTTTCCCAAAGTTGGGGTCAGGACACAAAGTGGGGTCCCGAAACATCAAGGTGGGGTCCTGAAAAGATTTTCTGAATTAATTACATTTTTGCCTTAGTTGTTACAAAGGAGTGAGGTTAGTGTATTTAAAATGGATAAATGTAGTATAAAAATATTGTTACAATGTCCATGTTTAGTTGACCTGATACAAATGTTTATCATCCAAAAATAGTTGGGGGCTCAGGTCTCTGTTACTGTTATTTTGTGGGTCAAAAGCTGAAAAGTTTTGGAACCAGTGCACTTTGGTTCCCAAAGTTGGGCTTGGGACCCAATTATGGGTCATGAAGCACCTTGGATAATCTCCAGAAATCAATTTAAAGGCTAATAAAATAATTGCTGATGTAATATTTTRCCTATAATTATTACAAAAACACAAAACAAGTATAAATAAGTATTTATATTTGTGTACAAGATGTTTATATTGTCAAAAAGCCTGTGTTTTTAGGGTTATTAACAAGGTTTGTGTACTCAGACCAGTAATATTTGGGGTCACAAGGTTTTGCCGTGAATATTTTGTGGGTCAGAAGACAAAAAGTTTGGGAACCACTGTTCTAGAATCATGAAATATTTTGCAGTGCAGACAAACAGACATATGAGGCAAAACAATGACTGCTGCTTTGTCTTCACCAGCAGATGACAATAATACAGTATATTAATGTGAGCAGATGCAAAAATACTGAGTCATATAAAAACCCCAAAAGAGCGACAATCTGTTGCTTTGATTTATTTGACAGAAAACCAGAAAAAAAAACACAAAAGAGCATGGGGCATCTGTTGACATGTTGTTAAGCAAATTTCATTCACAGCTTTCTAAAAATCCTCAAAGCTGTTTCCACATATACATGGTTCTTATTTATCTGTTTTAGACATCTAAACTTTGATGGATTACACAAAGGATCAAAACCAGCAAAACTCTCTGCAGACACAAAACATGGAGGAAACCGTATGTAGTTTTTATGCTCAGTAACAGCAAAATCCTTTTTTTATTGTCTGTTTATATTTAGCTGATGCTCAACAGTCATAATGTGCAAGTTTTAATATAAATGACTGTTAATTGGGGACCTCAGCAGAGCAATTTAAAAATGTTTTGACCATTTCTTTAGTGATGGTAAGTTTGGGATTGTTTACATATTTAGATCAATAATAGTTATGTTTCTGCACTCATTGCAACATTTTTGCTCATTTTGAACAAAACATCCGTGTGCAAATGTAAATAAAATGTACATTAGTAAAAGTGTATTAATATGTTTTATTATATTAGTTATTATTATAGTCTTTCCAGCTGGAACATCACTGTAAACTCTGCAGGCAGCTGCTCTGCTGCGCACCAAGCGGGGATCACTATTTGGCAGGAAGCTTTGGCTGAAACTGGGTCCCCGGCGTAACACGTCTTTTCCATACGGATAACTATTTTGCACGCCGATTTGAAACATTTCAGACCGATATTTTCTATTAATGCGGCAAAAACGTCTTCGCGGCACAAAAGTGTTTAAAAACTTTAATGTGAAAGTTCACCGACACAGGAGCAGCTACTTCAGAGTCGCTTTTAAGCATAAATTAGCCAATTAGCGGCTAAAGCTCGATAAAACTGCCTCTAGTGTTAAATAATCAATAAATGAATAAAATATACGCAATGGCAGGCAACATTTGAAACATTTGAAACTACGAAAGAAGGAGCGAACGCTGACGTTTTAAAACTCACCTTATATCCAAAGATAAACCGCAGGGATGAGGCATTTCTGACTGTCAGTGAACTTCCGGGTTACGTAAAGTTACGTCAGGAATGTCCATGCTGGGCTTGTTTTGAGTCAGTCTTTATGTAATCCTTGATAAATAAAGTTTCTCATTAAAGCTCATGCTTGAACTTGCAAAACATTTTGTCAGTAATAGTAATATATTATTTCAATATTTCAATAAATTAAAAGTATATATTTGTACATAATGTGTTAGACTGTTTTAAAAAATTCACAGTGGGAATAAATATAATAATGTTAGATTTGTAAGCATGAAGTAAATGCTAATTGTATTGAAATCTCATGTTTGTTAAAATTTTAATACCATCATTGTATTATTGAGTTCTAAAAACTTTGACTAAATAAATAAATTTTTAATGCAGGTTTGCATGAAATAAAAAAAACACAGCAATATACATAAAAGTTGCTGTTTAAAGTGAGCTTTTCTACCTATAACGTGACATAATTATTCATTTTGCAATTCTGTAACTTTTATTTTTGAAAGCATTTTATAGCTTTGGCTTTGTGCAAATCAGCCATTGGTGAAATCTGGGTTGTATAAAGTTATGGTTAACAAATGAAACAATAATTAGCAGGGCGGTGAAACAAGAAACTACAGAAGAGTCGCAAAAAAAATGTATAAAAATCTTTGACCTTTGTTGAGAGAGAAAAAGGAAGTCTCAAGCTTTAATTTACTCAGTTACATAAAGGTTCTGCTGTCAGACAGTCTGGGAAAAAGTATAAAATATATATAAAATTAAAAATACAAATCATATAAAGAGAAGAAAATAAAAAGCACCTATTATGCAGCATAATAGCTGTCAGCGTTTCATTACATTTCAGTCATATTCATGAATGTTTTATTAATTTTGCATTGATGCATGAGGAGCATTATGTTGCAGCTGTTGGAGGTAAAGCTAATTTTAACTACCTGACATTGTGCTGAACTGAAAGCAATGATTTATTCCTCAGTCAGGGAGGAGCTCAGGCTGTCTGTACCGTGGAAATAATCTGTACTGTATGGTTTGAAGTACAGGTTGTTGTTATTTATTTAAGGCAGTGCAGATTCTCCCACATTTACAGTTAATCCTTTTATGTAACTGAGCTAAACTTTGCTGTGGTAGTAGCTGAGAGTCATTCCCAACAAATGCTCCAAACACTAAATGATTGTGTGAGATATGTTGTTTTAAAACTTGCCTTTAATGTGGACTGTTTAGGGGCGACCCTCGGGAAAGTGGGTCAGAACAGCAGAAAATAGAAGCAAACTAAGCCCAGATTTAATAAGTGAAACAACAAGTAATTAGAAATGTTCTGAAGATAATGTAAAGCAGGAGCTGCGGCGCYGTGTTGTTGTGAAAATGTGCCGTAATGTGATTATAATCCCGACGCCAACGTTCAAACCAAGAGTGCACCGTCTTGTTTGTGCTGCAGAAGTGAGTGGGCAGAGGCTGCAAATATTAAACCGCTGCTTGTGGGCGGCTGCCTATATGGGACGTCTTGGCAATTTTGCAGCGTTTTAAAAGACGATCCTGACGTCGTTTTTTCCTCTTTTGAAGATTCAAATCACATTCATCAAACTTCGGCAGAAGCGCTGGGGATGAAGATTGCCTGGAAGTTTGCTGTGAAGCTCGTCCAAACGGTGGTCCGGCGGGACACGTGGTCCACGGAGCAAATCAGGAACACAAACAAAGAGGGTGAGGCGTAATCTGGCAGTTGGATAAAAGAGAGATGAAGAAAGTTGGGACGACACCTGGATTGTTTTCTTCTCTGGAACGTTTGATCTCTGGAGGAACACAGTGCTGCAGAATCAGTTCCAAAAGATCTTCTTACAGCTGGAGTTTGTTTCTCTTTGTGCAGCCGTGTGTTTCCACACTTTTGAATTAAGCATTTCTGAGTCAACATCCTTTATTGGTGCTTTGGTGTTGAGAACAATCAGATTCACCTTGTTGTTTATCCTAACACGTTTCAGAACGTGGCATCATTTAATGCAAAAAACAAAAAGTACTAATGTCCTGATGCATCTTAGTAATCCAGGTAAAAAAATCAAAAAGAAAAAAATTGTATAGGTCTTCTGGACGGGTTCTTCTCTAATGAAATGTTTCGTCTCTCCTCCAAGAGACTTCTTCAGTCTGAGTCTAAGACCCCAAACCCAGACCCAAACCAGTGGTTATTCCGTATGTTGCGGGTGTTTCGGAGAAATTGAGACGTTTATTTTCTAAACATGARGTCCCAGTGGCTTTCAAACCCCYAAACACATTACGGCAAAGGCTGGTTCACCCCAAAGATCCGGTGCCCCGGCACAAACAGAGCAATYTTGTATATGCTGTTAAGTGCCAGGAGGACTGCGACCAGTTATACATCGGGGAAACAAAGCAGCCACTGTTCAAAAGAATGTCCCAACATAGACGAGCTACATCTAATGGCCAGAACTCTGCAGTTTTCGCTCATTTACAGGCCAGCGGTCACTCTTTCAGAGATGAGGATGTTCTCATACTTGATAGAGAGGAACATTGGTTTGACAGAGGAGTAAAAGAAGCCATTTTTGTGAAGAAAGACCGTCCATCATTAAACAGAGGTGGAGGCCTCCATTTTCAGTTGTCCCCCTCCTACAGCGCTGCTATTGCCAGTATCACTCCACCCCCTGTTAACAATAGGTGTTAATTAGGTGTCAACTATAGCCATGTGATGTGAGTATCAGTCACATGGAGGCAGGGCTTAAAAGCCTGAATTTTGCCTGAAACTCTCAGACTGAAGAAGTCTCTTGGAGGAGAGACGAAACATTTCATTAGAGAAGAACCAGTCCAGAAGACCTATACAATTTTTTTCTTTTTAAAAAGAACTAATATACTTTATCAAAGTCAACATGGCCTCCACAGCCACACGAGTTTAGGATGATGCTCAGCTACTACCACATCAGATTTTAACTCCTTATCTGTAAAACTAGCTGAACTGAAGCCAGTTATGTGTTTTCTAAGACTGTGGCGGCCATCTTAAAGTGGATTGAGAGAGAGAAATTACATTTCCCATGAAAAAGACGTGAATGAAAAAACTGAAAAGCTTAAAAATGGCTGACAAGCTGAGAACTGCTAAAAATAGCAGGAAATAAACACAAATCATGCTTGTTCAGTTAGGCAAAAAATAACTAAAATTAACACAATAAAGGGAAAATTTGCTAAAAGCTAATAAAAATCGCAAATTAGCAGAGAAACAGTTAAACAGTACCCAAAATACAGGGTGAAAAAAACTAAAATTGGCAGAAAAAAGTTGAAAAGAACAGAGAAACGCTAAAATTAGCAGGAAAAGAACAGAAATCATGTTTGTTGAATTAGACAGAAAATAACTGAAATTAGCCAAAAAAGTGAAACTGGTTAAAAAATAAGTAAATAAAATAATAAAAGCCTCAAATTAGCAGAGAAACTGTTAAACATACCCAAAATACAGGGTGAAAAATGCTGAAATTGGCAGAAAAAAAGGTTTAAAAAACAGAGAAATGTTACAATTAGCAGAAAAAAAACAGAAATCATGTTTGTTCAATTAGGCAGAAAATAACTGAAATTGACGTAAAAAAAAAAAAAAGTAAAACTAGCTAAAATCAAATACAAAACTCTAATTAGCAGATAAACTGTTCAATACTACCAAATAGCTAAAATTGTCAGAAAGCAGCTGAAAGGAAAAGAGCATCTAAAATAAAACTAGCACAATGAATTTTATAAGTAAAAACTGAAATTAGCAGCTGAAAGAAGATGAAAGGAGCTGAAATTAGAACAAAGAAGTTGTGAAAACCAGAGCATGTGAAACGAGCAGGAAAAGGTTGCAAACAGGACAAAGGGTTTGAAGGATTTTGAAGTAAACGATTCATTTTCAATGAGGAAAAAAGTGTCTGAAAAAGCTAAATATTTTAAAAATTAAATACAAAAAGTAATAGCATGAATGTCCTGAATGAGATGAAGAGTTTGATACATGAATTATTGAAGTAGCACAAAAACTGCAGACGTTTTTGTGCCGAAATATGAAGAAAAATGGAGCTGATGTCAACCTGATGATAACTGTCTGAGGGTTTCATTCAGATCCTATGGTTAATGAGATATTTTGCTAACAGTACAGGCAACCTTTGCCTTGGATGGAAAAGAAAAGCAGGAAGTTTAATTCTGTTGGTCGTTACGTGTCTGCCTGCGCTCCTCTCTTCCCTTTGTGTATCGCTGAGTGTTTGTGACAAAAGAGTGGGCATTTAGGTGAGTGTTTTCACGCACGGCGTTGCTAACGTGTCTGAAAAAGGTAAAGCGGCGCAACACAGAGGCAAACTCAAGTTTAGAATAATCCCCTGCGCCGCTCCGATAAGACCACCAAAATTCCTTCATCCCACAGGTGGGGAACCCTCCTGACAACTTCCTCCCTGCCACTAACACAGCTATCACTCTCCACACAGGCTCTGTAAAATGATTTGGTGCGCGCCGCTATGTTTTTTGTTACAATTTTTCCCCTCCACAAAATGATTGAACTGCCAGTCTCTGTGTAATTACCTAAGGGGTGCAGGCAACAACGGTACAGCCAGTAAAAGGCTGATGAGGGAGTATTGAATTTGCACTTCAATTAGAGTGCTTATAAAGTGTGGATTACACAAGGACTCCAGGGCCACAGCTCTCACTCAATTACCACAGTTCACTACGGGGGGGGGGGGGGGGGTGCTGAGGGTGGGAGGTTAGCATCAAGGGAGGAAGACCAAAAGTTTTAAAAAACAGGATATTGGACACGGACTGAGCCAGTTTTAATCAGTGTCAATAATAAAACAATTGTAAAATATCAAACTAAATATCACTGAAGGGGTGCAAATTCAGATTTAAGCTGAATTTATCTTAAGATGAGAGATTATTAGAGTTTTGGTCAAACTCTCAGCTGCAACATCTGTAGCTATTTTTTTTTTTTTTGTGCTAAAGGCTGCAGTTAACCGCGGCAGCCATCTTGAATCTTTATATTTTCAGAACAGCAGACTGTGACGCGGATGTTTTGAAAATCTTTTAATTAATTTGCATATTTGATGTTGTTTAAACCCGTCTCCTTCAAG